AATCTGCAAGCTCTTATATTAATGCAAACGTAAGGCGCATCATGGTCGCTGACTGTAGGACATGGTAATACATTACAATAGGTGACACGGGTTGGGGTATTACTAATTATGTGGTCAATAAGTGTTGCAGAAGTAGGAGCAGTACGAGTAGGACATTGCACGTGTTGATAAAGATTCAGCGATTCCAGTAAATCAGTATATTTCTTAACTTGGGGTAATTCAGGTTTCAACAGGTTGATATTCATGTTGCCGGTGACGACAAGTGGACCATCCCAGAGGACATTTAGCTGGCTTAGCAAATTTTCGGTCTTGTCCATCCAAGCTTGGAAGTCCTGTAAACGCTCTGATCGATACAATACTCCGAGCAAAATCTTACTGTGTTTATTTTTACTAGGTATTTCCAGCCATATGTGTTCTAGTTCAGGTTCGATGTCTTCAATATCTGTACGCCTCTTGTAGTTAATAGTATCCCTCAAATACACACCAACTCCTCCCCCACAAATTTTATCTCGGTTGCGAAAGGCGCTAGAGTAGCCAGGAATGTTAACATATTCTAATAAGTGAGGATTGTTCTTTAGCCATGTTTCACTCATTGCTATTATATCAAATGGATATTTAGAAATGGTGACGAGTAACTCATCAAATGTCGACACCATACTTTGTGTGTTTAAATGTGCAAGCCTAAGTTGGTTAGCCCTACTAGTGAGAGGACATTGAGATGTTCATCGGGCATGTCGTTGAGAAGATCGTCACTGGTTTCTTGTCAAAAAGAAGCGTCTAAATTAGGTTGGCCATGGAAGGGTAGCAGTGATATTAAACATCTATCACATGTCTGCTCAACGGGCTTGTCGGATGGGATGTGTTGTGGTATAACTGCCTCGATACAACGTGCATGATACAAGTCTTTGCAAATATTGCAAACTATACGTTTTTGATTGCGTCGAACAGTTTTCTCACATGTTGGACATTTAACCGCAGAAACACGCCGATAACATTGGTTGTTACTTGATGTTGGTTCAGTTGTAGAAGGCCCTGGGTTTGTTTGAATATCTCCACAGGTAATAATCAGCAACTGGAACGTTGCCACACAATTGGAATAATATTGAATGCGAGATTTTAGACGCTTGCGATTTAGCCTTTTGTCCTTTGCAACACGTTTCTGTAATTGGAATAATATTTGCCCCTAGAATCCAATTTTTTATCGGTTCTCCATCTGCAGTAGAATTAATTAAGTATTTTAATCTGTTACATTTATATTGTTGTACTTTTATGGCCCCCCGTTTGTAAATGAAATGTAAAATATCTGCAGAGATAATAAACAAGCGAAATAAATTGTGTACTAACACAGATTTATCAATACCTAAGTTAAACTATACTAGACAAAAAATCCTGGTATGTTAGTGGAGTACCGAGACAGAGAACCTTTTTCAACAACACAATTGAATATATGCCCGATTCCATACAACAAAAATTACATGACAGCTCTTTCACTCCTTGATGAAATAATAAATGTCTTATGAAATCTGTGACGATTGGTTTATATTTTCTGTTATGGATTTAAGAGTTCCGATTGATTTTAGTTATATATTTAATGCCACTAAATTTGGCAATGCCATTTTCGCTGTTGAAAATGTTAGTAAGTAAACTGTCTGAACTATTCAGGAATTTCAACTGTTGTCAATTATTAACCTTGCAAAACATTTCGGGTAAGGTGATAAATTAACTTGACCATCTTGAGATATTTGCCACCAAAAATGGAAAAACACCCATCTAACCTGCATTATCTGCATGTTAGATTGCTCCAGGAAGCCTCCTTTTACCAGAATAATGGGAGCATCAGCTGTTGCAAAGAAAGGCATGTCTTTGTTGAATTCTATGTCTTTGCTGCAAGTGTTTTTCGGAGCTGCAATATGCACTGTGTCACCCTCTAGTAGCTGCAAGAAGTCACCCCAGGCAATTATGGAAGGATGCCAATGAAAATCACTTAGTAACACCACTTCTGCATCTTCAACCCTCATCCATGCAAATATGCCTGTGGCTGGATTGGTGAAGGTTTTGAAATTTGAATGGAGAGGCGATAAAATAAATGTTTTTTCCATGTTTGTCCGACCATATATGAACACATTTCGATATTTTCCGCGACCAAGATTAAGACCTCGAAATATAGCGTGGCAGAAACGTGATAATGAGATGTCATTACTCTGCAGTAAATTCAACCCGCATTCAAGCCATTTGCCATTGCAATCGCTTGTGCACTCACTGGAATAAGCTTCCTTCAAAAGCTGGACACAGCTTTTTTGCATTCAGGCCAGTCTTTGCGGTGCTTCATCAAATTCTGTTGCTAACTCTAGTGCTTCGTTTACGATTTTGTTGCCCCTGTTTGCTATAAACTCGGCTAGAACCGTTTTCCCTCATTTTTTTGCCTTAGGGCCAGATTTTTAAGTTCTAACCTACTTTTGATTTTGTTTTCACTAATGACCTCGACAACATCAAATGTCGTGTACCATTCCCTTTTTTTCTTTGCCGTGCCTTGACTGCTTTTTTCTTGCCTTTTTCACTATTGTTGCTGCCTTTGGTCTTCTTTAGTGACGTATTTATAAGCACTATAGTATGTTGCATGGGCAGAACTGAAATTAACTTTTATTCCATTTTCTGATTCCAATCTGGTACAGACTCTACACCATCAGGCTCGGCGAGTAATTTTTAAAGCCATGTGATAATGGGTTCCAAATGCACCTACAATCTCCTTGTCATGATGACTCTCCTGTGCTACAACCCAGTGTGCTACTTTAACGACATCCAGATGTTCAAAAGCTCTCACTACAATATCTGCAAAAACCTGCTTGGTCGGAACTTTAGACAAATCAGCCCTGCTATATGTTACAAGATAAACACAATAGACTGCTGTCGACTTCTAAGCACAGGCATAATACTGTAAGATTAAAATTCGTTTATTTTTCTTTAAGTTTTTGAACAAGGCTATGTCAGACAATCATGGAATAATTAATTGGGACAAGCACTGTAAAACCTACAAATATAAGCCCCCCCCCCCGAATAAAAGCCCCTCCCTGTGTATAATCCAATGTTCACCTCATTCCAAATATAAACCCACCCGAATATAAGCCCCCCCCAAATATAAGTCCTCTGAATATAAGCCCAGTAGTATAGCCCACTACGTTATTGAACATTGACATTGTCCTTTAATATAGCAGAGAACAATATTTAAGAACAATGTCATTGATTGTCTTTATAGCGTACTATGTTAGTCAAAGCATGTTATTAATACATGTTTATTTTCCTGTTTATGACTGAATTGTTTATTACCAAGTTGAGTGAACACAAAAGATTGTCCATGTTTAAGCCCCCCCCCCCC